ACTCGACTTGGACTTATGGGCCAGTGACTCGAGACTCGACTTGGACTTGACTTGGACTTATGAGCCAGTGACTCGAGACTCGACTTGGACTTGACTTGGACTTATGGGCCAGTGACTCGAGACTCGACTTGGACTTGACTTGGACTTGGACTTATGGGCCAGTGACTCGAGACTCGACTTGGACTTGACTTGGACTTATGGGCCAGTGACTCGAGACTCGACTTGGACTTGACTTGGACTTATGTTCCAGTGACTCGAGACTCGACTTGGATCCAAAGTTTGTGCCCAAATTTGTGTTTCGGAACCTCGATTTGATTCGTCGTTCCATTGAACTTTCTCGAGGTGGAGATCGGTTTTCTTCCGAATCCCGAGCACAAGACAACGCAGCTTTAAAAACACAGTGGAGCACTTCCCGTATTACCACGTGACTTGAGTGTTTTCTGTTTGAGAGAAGAAGGGTTTGTGCGTTAAAACAAAACACAACTCCAGGTCTGTTTGTGACGAGGAAACAACATTATAACACAAATCAGAAAATAATTTAATACAGGACTTTTAATAATGGCATTTTAAGTTTTTCTTTCTAACTAAATGCATTAAATGAGCGTTACGAGTGCCTCCTTAAGTGCATCTCTCCGGGCTCTTTCTAGTCACTTTTCATCACATTATAAAAGAGACAACTATGAGATCTGCCCACATTCTTCACCCGAGGCTTGTCTTCATTCTTTAAAGATTCATGTCACTGGTACGGAGCCAAAACCAACTCTCTCGTCTCCGCAAATGCCAAGCTCTCCGTGGTGCGTTTGAGTTTAAAAAGAAACAAGGGAAATTTGAGAAGTTATCACAAACAGCCGCGCGGAGACATGGAGTTTTTAGATCTGAAAATATACAGCGCAATCCCAGTTTTAGAGACGAAGACGAAAGATGTGGTTCACTTGGAAACGGACTAATTCAGTGCGTTTTTTCTTCGTGTTTACTATTCTAGACATTTTAGACTTCATAAATTGCGTGTAAGGAGTTATGTAAGAAAAAAATACACATGCTTTTTTATATTTTCTATTCAAATTCTCCAAGAAAGCAGCCAACCTTTGATTTGGTGACTCTTGACGTTCTCTCAATGACTAAATTTCATTCTCATTACTCTTTATTTGTATGATCATAAACGAAAACAAAAATCCTTAAATTTTTCATTCTCATTTATTTTGTACGATCATAAACGATTAACTTTGCGCCTTCTTCATTACTGTTATTAGTTTGTACGACCCTAAACGAAAACAAAAAAATCCCAAAATTTTTCATTTTCATTACTGTTTATTTTGTACGAACAAAATTCCTTAAATTTTTCATTCTCATTACTGTTTATTTTGTATGACCATAAACGAAAACAAAAATCCTTAAATTTTTCATTCTCATTACTGTTTATTTTATACGATCATAAACGATAAACTTTGTGCCTACGATAACATTATTATTAGTTTGTACGACCATAAACGAAAACAAAAATCCTTAAATTTTTCATTCTCATTTATTTTGTATGATCATAAACGATTCACTTTGCGCCTTCTTCATTACTTTTATTAGTTTGTACGACCGTAAACAAAACAAAAATCCTTAAATTTCTCATTCTGATTACTGTTTATTTGTACGACCATAAACGAAAACAAAAATCCTTAAATTTTTCATTCTCATTACCGTTTATTTTGTACGATCATAATTGATAAACTTTGCGCCTTCTTCATTACTGTTATTAGTTTGTACGACCGTAAACGAAACAAAAATCCTTAAATTTTTCATTCTCATTACTGTTTATTTTATACGATCATAAACGAAAACAAAAAATCCCAAATTGTTCATTCTCATTACTCTTTATTTTGTATGATCATAAACGATAAACTCTGTGCCTTCTTCATTACTGTTATTAGTTTGTACGACCGTAAACGAAACAAAAATCCTTAAATTTTTCATTCTCATTACTGTTTATTTTATGCGATCATAAATGATAAACTTTGTGCCTACGATAACATTATTATTAGTTTGTACGACCATAAAGGAAAACAAAAATCCTTAAATTTTTCATTCTCATTACTCTTTATTTTGTACGATCATAAACAAAAACAAAAAATCCTAAAATTTTTCATTCTCATTTATTTTGTACGATCATAAACGATTAACTTTGCGCCTTCTTCATTACTGTTATTAGTTTGTACGACCTGTAAACAAAACTAAAATCCTTAAATTTTTCATTCTCATTACTGTTTATTTTGTACGACCATAAATGAAAACAAAAATCCAAAAATTTTTCATTCTCATTACTGTTTATTTTGTACGATCATAAACGAAAACAAAAAATCCCAAATTGTTCATTCTCATTACTCTTTATTTTGTATGATCATAAACGATAAACTTTGTGCCTTCTTCATTACTGTTATTAGTTTGTACGACCATAAACGAAAACAAAAATCCTTAAATTTTCTTATTACTGTTTGTTTTAAATGATCATAAACGATAAACTTTATGCCTACGATAACATTATTATTAGTATGTACGACCATAAAGGAAAATATGTTGCATGTATGTATATGTGTGTTATGCATATGTGTGTATAAACATTTATATTGAGTATATGTACTGGATATCTACGATGCGTACATATATGTATGTATGTATATATGTATGTGTGTATGTATGTATGTATATATATATATGTATGTGTGGATATGTTTTTGTATATATGTGTGTATATTTCTGCAAATGACAGGTAAGCACTCCAAATGTGATATATTAAAAAAAAAAAAAGAAAAGTGAACCACATGATTATGTAAAACACTTGGGGCAGGACTCCATACATTTTTTAAACTTCATCCTCCTCCTTTTGAGCACCAGGTCCCAAATATTTTCATCTACATATCACTATTTTTGTTATTGTTTTTGAATTTTGTTGTACCTGGCTCAAACAAATAAAATAAAAAAAGACTTTCGGGATGAAGTCTCCTGAGCTTTGCCGCAATTGAAAAACAGTGGTCCCTCGTTTATCGTGGGGTTTACGTTCTTAAAATAACCCGCAATAGGTGAAATCCGCGAAGTAGTCAACTTTATTATTATATTATATCTGTTTTAAGGCTGTAAAACCCCTCACCACACACTTTATACACTTTTCTCACACAGGACAGTTCCAACCCCTTTTTACATCCTTCTTAAAACTTATTGCTGCGTCGTCCTTTTGTTATTTTCCTCCTTCTTTATGTAACGAACCGAACATTAATTTATTCCGTAATGGCGCCTACACTCATGTAACTTCTCTCCTTCCTTCAGCGTGTCCAGAAGTCCAACTTTTTGTGAGCTGGTCAGCATCTTCCTCTGACTTTTGGGTGCGACCGCTGGAGCCTTTGTCGGTGCCGAAGGGAAGAAAACTTGCAAACATACAACAGTTCAGAGTCACACTGATAACGATCGAACATGCTGTGTATGGGAGGAGGCATGGTTAAGTCCCAACTAAATCCTGTTTTAGTTCTAGTTGTAGATCTGTTTTTAGACCTGGTTTGGTCTTGGTTTAGACCTGGTTTAGTCTTGGTTTAGTCTTGATTTAGACCTGGTTTAGACCTGGTTTAGTCTTGGTTTAGTCTTGGTTTAGACCTGGTTTAGTCTTGGTTTAGTCTTGGTTTAGACCTGGTTTTGGTTTAGTCTTGGTTTAGACCTGGTTTAGTCTTAGTTTATGGTTTAGTCTTGGTTTAGACCTTGGTTTAGACCTGGTTTAGTCTTGGTTTAGTTTAGACCTTTTTTGGTTTAGTCTTGGTTTACCTGGTTTAGTCTTGGTTTAGACCTGGTTTAGTTTAGTTTAGTCTTGGTTTAGACCTGGTTTAGTCTAGGGTTTAGACCTGGTTTAAGTCTTGGTTTAGTCTTGGTTTAGACCTGGTTTAGTCTGGTTTAGTCTGGTTTAGTCTTGGTTTAGTCTTGTTTTAGACCTGGTTTAGTCTTGGTTTAGTCTTGGTTTAGACCTGGTTTAGTCTTGGTTTAGTCTTGGTTTAGTCTTGGTTTAGACCTGGTTTAGTCTTGGTTTAGACCTGGTTTAGTCTTGGTTTAGACCTGGTTTAGACCTGGTTTAGACCTGGTTTAGTCTTGGTTTAGTCTTGGTTTAGACCTGGTTTAGTCTTGGTTTAGTCTTGGTTTAGACCTGGTTTAGTCTTGGTTTACCTGGTTTAGTCTTGGTTTAGACCTGGTTTAGTTTTGGTTTAGTCTTTGGTTTAGACCTGTTTACCTGGTTTAGTCTTGGTTTAGTCTGGTTTAGTCTGGTTTAGTCTTGGTTTAGTCTTGGTTTAGACCTGGTTTAGTCTTGGTTTAGACCTGGTTTAGACCTGATTTAGACCTGGTTTAGTCTTGGTTTAGTTCTGGTTTAGTGGCCCAGCCTGTGCGACGTACGGGAGTAGGGACGGTCTGCGCGTGTGCGTGTGTGTGTGTGTGTGTGTGTGTGTGTGTGTGTGTGTGTGTGTGTGCGTGTGTGTGTGCATGTGCGTGTGTGCGTGCGCGTGTGTGCATGTGTGTGTGTGTGCGCATGTGTGTGCGTGTGTGTGTGTGCATGTGTGTGTGCGTGTGTGTGTGTGTGTATGTGTGCGTGTGTGTGTGTATGGGGCGGGGGGGTTCGTAATTTCACGGCCCGGCACTGGTCTCCAGCAGATGATGTTGAAAATTTTCACTAAATATTTAGTTTGGCCCAAGACTTAGTCCAGTTTTTAATTTTGGCCTCTGTGAATTTGAGTTCGACACCTCTGGTTTTATGTGTTTTTTTTGCATTTGCATTTATCTTTTGTAGGAAGACATTGACGAAGGAAAAGAAACCGGATAAAAATGGGGATAAAAAGACAGCGGTAATGATGTAGTGACCCCCTCCCCTGATTTATTTATTATTTTTATCAACAAAACCATAGAAATTAGTCTGAAAAATGATATATACTGTATGTGCATGCAACCGAAAAAGTTCATTCAATAAATACGAGTTAGAAAACGTCTTTACAGTCTCTCCAGTATCTTTTAATTTCAATGAATCCAATTTTGACAAACGCGACCAACAAAGTCATTCAAAAATCATATCAGCAACATTCCCCAGTTACAAAAACACATCGTAGGAAGCACACATGATTTCAGCAGAGTCCTGTAGAAAAAGGCATTGTTCGTTTTGTTGACGTTTTAATGGCTCATGTCTGTGGCCCAAAAAACAACACAAGTTCCACGCTGAAAATACCAGAGACGTCGTCCAATAGGCTGCGCTCACGAGTCGTCACGTTTCACAATCGAAAAATGTTCATCGCTACGGCAACAGTCCCAAATCCTCGTCGTTCTGGAATCTGAAATGTTAAAAACGCTACGGTGGAAATTTCCGTTTAAAGTTGCGTTGTGTAACTTATTCCTTTGTCTGGAATGTTCCACAGTATGGCATTAAACATTTCCATCTTCACGGAGACCAAACCGGAACAAGTTACAGGTCAGATCTGCGGAAAGGCGAGCCGCTCTCAGTCAGAATGCCTGTTTTTTATGATATTTTCGAGCTATAAAACCACCTGTGATTGAATAAATGTAAAGTAGAGCTGTTTAAAGTCATACTGTGGAACGTTCCAGGCACAGCGATGACGTATCCATAGCAACAAGCAAGTGACAGACCCAGAAAAGTTACACAATGCACCTTTAAGTGTCAGATTACAGATTTGCTGACCTGGATTGCGGTTCATATCTTTGCAATGACTCGGCCGATTTGCGTGAAACCAAAAACTGGCACAAAGTTCACGGTGTTCTCTGTCAGTGTAAATAAACAAAGCGGAATCGTTTTATCGCAAACGTTTTAGAAAGCGGTGCCAGTATTCAAACCCAAAGACGTGATTGTCGTCAGCTGAGAGGAGATCATCATCAAGATTAAAGGTCCTATATTACACAAAATTGACTCTTGTGAGCTTTAATCTATGTTATAATGTTGTTAAATCATCTAAAAACAGACCTGGAGTTTGTGTTTTGTTTCATTCATGTTTGAGTAATAATTAATTATTCATCTGTCTTTATCTCCAAACCTCAAAACGCTCAGTTCGATCTTGTGGCGTCAACTTTTGTTCAGTGGAGATCGGTAAAGTCTTCCAGATCTGAAATCATCAATCCAAATGATTCCAGTGAAGGTGCATGGAGTTTAAAAACACAGTGGAGCTCTCTTTATATCATCACATTACATCACAAGTTGGAAAAGTGTTTTCTGTTTGAGAGAAGAACTCTTAAATATGCAGGTTTTGTGTTAAACATGTGTGAATGAAACCAACAAAAAAAAAAAAAAAAAAAAAACACAACTCCAGGTCTGTTTGTGATGAAGAAACATTAAAACAGATCAGAAAATTGTGTAATATGGGCCCAAGTTTGTGGAGAACATACACTACCGGTCAAAAGTTTCAGAACATCCTAATTTTTCCAGTTATTTATTGCAATTCAAGTCGTGCAAGTCCAATGAACATTTTGAAATAGTACAAAGGTAAAAACTGAACAGACAGAGGTTAAAAAAAAGATAAAAGATACAAAACACAAGTCCAAAACTACCTCAGGAAAAAGATGATAAAGCTTGAAAACATGGAGTGTCCAGCACAGTCTCCAGCAGGGAAGCCTTAAAAGGTCTTTAAATTATGTTGCCCAAGTCTTATTTTTTCACAAATGTCTTAAATTTCATTAGCCTGTTTTTTTTTTGTCGACTCAACCGAGCTGCAGTGCGAAGTGTTAAATGAACGTCTAATTTGGAGTCTGCGCAAACAATACTTTAGTTTCTGGCGCAGCAGTAATTGGATGGATGGATCATGGGGAAGTGAAGGTTTAATCCACGGTGGCTCTAAGATTCTAGTGTCTTTAGATTCTTAGATTCTAGATATAGTCCAGTTGTTGTTTGGTCATTATTAGAATTGGATCTGGTGTTTTTCGCCCGCATAATGGGTGCGATTTTGGTTTTAATTTTCATTTAAGTGGTCTTAAAAAGGTCTTTAAAAAGTCTTAAATTTGGGGTAGTCAAACCTGGGGATATCCTGTCCAGACTTAAACCCCATCGAGCTGGTTTGGGATGAACTGGACCGAAAAGTGAAAGTCAAGAAACCTACAAGTGCCACACATTTACGAGAACTTCTGCAACAGACTTGGGAAGAACTTTCTGAAGAATATTTGATTTCTGTCGTAAAAAGAACGAGCCACGAGTGTGTTCAGCTGTTAAATCTGCCAAAGGTGGACACTTTCATGAATCAAAAGTTTAGAATAAGTTTTGGTAAACAGTAAAAAAAACAAAAAACGGTGGTGTTCCAAAACTTTTGACGGTACATTTTCATATTTTCTCCATAAACGCTGAATTTCCCATCGACTCTGAAATCATGGCGTCAAAATCTTCGTGAACACAGCCTATTTTTAGTGTAGTGACTTACCCCTTTCAACAGCTTTCGACACAATTTCAGAAAATACACTTAAAAACAAAATGGATTCTACAGGAGACAGGAGCATTCAAAAAGATGCGGGTAGAAGAATCGTTTTAAAGAAATAGTCTTTCTTTCTTCAGCAACAGTTCTTGTCCGTTTTCGTCCTTTTTCAAATTCAAACTCCTTTTACGCAATTGAATCCCGTCGTCAAATTTTAGGTCAGGTGATGAAAAAAAATCCAAAACTTGTACTTTTTTGTTTATTTTCCATTTCGCGAATACTCGTCGCTTGAGTTTAGAGTTGTTTTTCGAACATACAAAGTCCATGAAGATGAGATCGAAACCAAAATTTTGTTAAAAAATATCGTGAGTGCCTGCAAACATAAATAAATTACAAATCAGACTCATAGTTAGGTTTCATATCATTATATTCAAGGGCAGATTTTAACATAATTTTCTTTATTTTTTTCCCCCATAAAATTCCCAAAATGTGTATCATAATAATCTGATTTGTCTTTGCCAAACAATCTCTTTCCATGGCATATAAAAAAACAATTTCATCAATAATTTATTAGTTAAAAATCACAATGCATTTGATTAACTGTAGCTAGAGATAGACCGATATATCAAACCGATATTTGTCCTGTTTAAGAGTAAAGGAAATCGACCTTCAATCTCCAGCACGGGCCGATATTCTGTTTTGGTCGATTTGCTGCCTAAAAATACTCAAAAAGTTAATTTTAACACGTAAATACGAAGAAATAACTGCACGAAATGAGACGCACAGCTCTCTTAAAGGTTCGTGATTTTAAAAAAAAGTGCTGTGGGTGAGTTTGTAGTGGATTTAATTAACATAATTTGAGCAAAATAGTCAAAATCTGCCTCATACCGGCCCAAAATATCGGCAGATTTTAGCGGCCATTGGTTGATTTAGATTCAATTTGTATCGGTAATAGAAAAAATAAAAACATATCAGTCGATCTCTAGTCGTAGCCCGACTAAACCAATCATTCTCGACAATATTTACAAACTTGTACTCAATCAAACATCGTGCTAACCTGCAGACTCATCGAACTCATGTCTTAAAGCGAGAGGTGCATGTGGCTATATACAAAAAAAAAAAAAAAAAAAACCTGAAAGAGCAGTGGAGACAGAAAGAGAAAGAGGAGTAGAAGTAGTAGTAGTAGTAGTTCCGCTCTGCCACCAGCAGGGCGGCAGTGGCGGGGAGGGGCGGGGGGGGTTGGGGCGACGGAGAGCTCTCACTGTCCGTTGGGAGCGCTGGGGGCGGGGCTCGTTCCGTCTACGTTTGGCGGCTGCACGTTGTCGGCGAGATTGTGCGCGTGCTCCAGAAACAGGTCTTTAAGTACGCTCAGTTCTTTGCTCAGGAGTTTGATTTTGGCCTCCAGGCGCTCGTTCTCCTCCTTGAGTTCGTTGACTCTCTGTTGGGTGTCCATGGCCTTCTGCTTGCTCCTCATCCGGCTCTTCTTCACGGCCAGGTTGTTCCTCTCCCTCCTCTGGCGGTACTCCTCGCTGTCCTTGTCCGCATGGGCCTTCTTCATCTTGCTCGGGGCCAAAGCTTTTCCTCCTGGCGCTGACGGATTGGCAGGGACCAGTTGGGGCACCTGTGGTAAAGACAAGAAGAAGAAGAGAAGAAGAGTCAGGAGGTGTGAGTAGGGGTGTCAGGGTGCCCACTCTTTTTCACTAACATTGCAAAACTTTTCCATGACTTTTTCACAACCTAAAGTGAATTTTCCATGATTAAGGTGTAAAATTGAGCATAATTTTAGGGCTAAATATGAAACGTAGCGATGGGCAAATGAGTCGGAGCTCCAGAGCACGTCTCGTTCTTTCTGAAACAAATGGCTCCGAAGCACTGCCTCGGAGCTCGTCTCGCAGCAGCCGCTCACGTGACCGAACTGTGGAAGTGTGGGTCCCTCCCCCTACTGCTTCGCTCGGCGTGTCAATCGCTTCAGCGTATCGAAGCGTTTCATTGGCCCGGCGAATGTTCCGCTCTGTGATTGGTTCAGAGCTTCAGAGAGTTCAGCGCACTTCCGTGGTTTGACGAGCGCAAAAACTGCTACAGTATAAAAGATGCACCAATATTTCTTAAAAACGTTGGGTAGTGAGGAGTATTGTGTGACGTTAGTGGTGATTTTGGCGACTTTCGGCATTTGTTTCATTTTCGACGGCATCTACAAGTGGAAAAAAGCGATCCATGGTTTGGGATCACTTTGATCCAATTCCACCTCACAAGGCAACACCTATTTTCACCTCTTTACATATTATTTTAAATCATCATTATTGTTGTTGTTAGGTACGGTGTTTGCTCTGCACTAGGGATGGGCATTCGATGAAATTCTTAATCGATCGTCGGAAGAATTAACAATCGATTATCGATTAATCATTAACGTTTTTATATTAAAATGATAATCATTATTATTACTATCTGCACTACTAATCTGCATAAATAAATTCAACTTTACGACATATAAACCATAACCACTCTAGCGCCACATCAGCCCGTTTGACATTATAATGACATTAATTCAGTTTAGCGCAACTCTCACAGAAACGAAACATAAAATTGCTAATTTGCATAAATCTTTATTATTATTATAAAATTATCGATTAATTGATTAATCATGCCCATCCCTACTCTGCACACAAGTATTGTCTTACACTAACGATACTTCATCACGCTCAGACACCTGTGTGCCAATGGTCAGCGGTCAGTGTTTCTCCGAGGCCTCAGACACGTCGATCCATTTGAGACGATATTGCGACTAAGGCGTCAATGCTTCACGAGGCTCCACTCGCCCATCACTAATGAAATGTTAACCCTTTCCACTCACCTTATGATTTGGTGTTATTTTATTATTTTTTAACATTCAAAATACTGTCAGTGCATTTATTGTCGTCTCTTTTAAACAAAAGGCGCATACTGTACGTTCGGAAATAATCATAATAGCCGAATGCAAACTTAACAGAACGCCAGGATCTCCATGACCGTGGTATGTCAAAACATCGAAAAACCAGTTGGTCACATTTTTATGCAGTGCTTTTCCACCTTCAAGACACTTAAAGCGCTTTACAACAAGGATCCACTCACTGATTTTGTTCGCTCGTGTCTCATTCACTGTCGCCCTGAACGCCGAAAGTTGGTGCCAGTGAAAAGCTTCAAGCACCACGAACCTTTTCCATCATTTACAGACAAAACCACCAGCCATATTCCACCGAGTCGCGTCCTTTAGCCTGAAAGAAGCTAAACGAGCTGAGCTGCATGAGAAGTGCTGTTTATGCAAATTAGTCACGCGTTTAAGTTTCGTTTCTGTAAAATGTAAACACACGTGCGCAAAACTGCATTAAACACATTATTATCTCAAACGGGCTGATGTGGCTCTAGAGTCGTTATGTTTTATATACTGTAAAGTTTATTTATGCAGAAGATTTTAATGAATAATCTGCTGCAGTGTCACATGTACAATAGTGTTTGGAAATGTTGGGTTTGATCTGCAGTGGATTGTGGGATTAAACCTCAGAGCTCCTCACGCTGGTGCTGGAACATGGATCTATTAAAATAAGGAACATCCTGAGTTTCTTCTGCTAAATGAGCTCATGGTTCTGGTTCTGGTCTGGATAACAGAGTTAATACAAAGATGAGCTTGTGTTGAGTTGTTTTATTTATGAATGAAAAGAAGGAAATATGTATTATTTCTTTTATTTTACAGTTAAATTATTATTTATGTAATTAGGGTTTTTTGTCATCTTAAATGTTCCTATATGAACTGTCGACCTCTTACACTTCAATAAAAAAAAAAGACCTTGTGGAATTTAGCAGATTTGTTTTTGCAGTTTTCAGTTTTAGGGGGTTATTTTTTCTTGAACAGATAGAGATATATATCGTATATTGAGATATAGCAAAATATATCGAGATATATTTTTTGATCCATATGGCCCAGCCCTACACTCACTCATTCACACGCACATTCATACGCCAGTGTATTAAGAGGCGGGGGGTGAGGTGGGTTAAGTGTCTTGCCCGACCCATGGGCCAGTGGATCCGCTCAACCAAAGATGTTTTTATGAGTTACAGTTGTGGAATTACCTCTACATACGTACTGTATCTCTGCGTATAACTGCAGCTCGTGTCCAACCAGGAAGTCAAATTATAAATAAAAGAAAAACTTACCAAAAATCTTGCCTAGTTTTTCTATTTAAGCGAAAAGTGTAGTCTAACCTCGGTACTGAAAATCACATACTAATCGATACCAAAACTAGTATCGAAACTAGATTTTGATACTAAAAATGTCACATTCACAGGACAGAAATGAACCTTTCCTGAATAGTTTTAGAATGATCTTGAGCTTTGTAAGAGCACATCGACTAGTATACGCCCACGGACCACTATGAAACCGACCTGGACACAGATATAAGACCACATGGGAATATAAAAGAAAGTACGATTATATAATGTTGAAAATCAAATTAATCGTCTTAAGAAAGAGTTATCATCACTGTAGTATCGGAATCAATACAGAGAATGAACTTTATTCCTTAGAGTTGAAATTGAGTTTGAAATTTTATTATTGCAAGAACATTACTAGTGGGTTGGTGCGATTAAAAAGGTCATCGTGATAACTATTTAGCGATGGTCTGATATGGATTTTTTTGAGCTGATACACATATCTGATTATAATATAGCACATTTATAAAAACCCACAGGAAGGCACATAAACTTATCTGAAGTTCAAATTAAGACCACAAGTTAAATTAAAAAAAAAATATTTGAACGGTTATTTATCTAGGATGTAAAATTTTTTTTTTTTCTTACAGTTTGTGCAAGCCTTTTTTTTTTTTTTTGCCTTTCTCTCTCCTCTTAATGCTAATTTTATGATGACCATTTCTGTGTTGATTTATTTGTATTAGGGATGGGCATTCAATTAAATTTTCTTAATCGATCATTGGGAGACTTAACGATCGATTATCGATTAATCATTAACGTTTTTATATTAAAATTTGCATTATTATTATTACTATCTGCATAAATAAATTCAACTTTACGACATATAAACTATAAACACTATAGAGCCACATCAGCCTGTTTGAGATTATAATGTGTTTAATTCAGCTAAGCACAAGTCTCACAGAAACGAAACTTAAAACCGCATGGCTACTGTATTTTCTGCACTATTAGGAGCTCTGGATTATAAGACGCACTGTCATTAAATGGTCTATTTTTGAACTTTTTTCACAAATAAACCGCACTGGACTTTAAACGAAACACAACAGTTGGATGGGTCAGTGGGACTTTGTTTGTGGCGTTCACGGTGACTCTGGGCTTTGTTCAGTTGTGGCGTGTAGGGAGGTGCTGTCTGGGACCACTGGATTGTCGGCGTGTTCGCAGTGACTCAGTTGTTCAGTCGTGTCTAGAAGTGGCACATTGCACTCGCTTTTTCGGTTCGTTCCTCCGTTCCATTCCTCGTCGGCGTGGAGTGATGAGTGTGTCTGTGTGTTTTTCGCCGTGCGGTCGCTGTCTGCTCCGTGTGTGTTTGCGTGCGCTGCGGGTGGTGCGGATTTGTAGTTTACTGAAGTCGTGCTGGGACACCCGAGTGGATTCGTGTATAGGGCGCTCTGGATTGCGGGGTGCACGGTTGTTTTTTGATGGGGTTGGAGGCTTAAGAGCGCGTCTAACAGCCTGGAAAATACGGTAATTTGCATAAACGAAGTGAAGAAAAAAAAAGCTCTTGTGCGCTGATGCGGTTCAACTTCTGTCAGACTAAAGGACACGATTCAGTGGAATACAGGTTAGTGTGACCATATTTCCGTTTGTCAAACCAGGACACTGTACGGGGGGTGGGAGGAGGGGCCTCATCTTTGACATTGAGCTACTCTCACTTGGCAAAGCTTTTTCATGTTTTCAGTGTCCTGGTGCTTTGAGGTCCCGGGCACTGCCACTGGACACCGAAACATATGTGCTGCTTTACACACTGTGAACATGGCCTCACACTTGTACAAGAAATTCCACGCTTTCCGTCCCAGTCGTGACAAGTCATCGTTAAATGCGCATTTGTGCTTCGGCACGTTGCAGACTGACCGACTGTTTGTGTCTCGCTCCTTCTGAGTGCAGAGAGCTACGAGAGCCGCTCAATTTAATGTCCCCAATGAAACGAAATGAAAACCCGGACATCTGTAACACTTTATTAAAAAAAAAAAAAAAACAGGACGTGAAAAACGGACATGTCCGGGGAAAATCGGGACGTTTGGTCACCCAGCAACCTACATTCGGTTTGTCGATTAAAAATGAACGTAATCGAGGAAATTCTAAATGAACAATTAACAATTAATCGTCTAATCATGCCCATCCCTAATTTGTTTTGTGATTTTAATGTATTTCTTGTTCTGTAAATCACTTTCAATTACTTTGTGTACGAACTGTGCTGTACAAATAATCTCTTGTATCCATTTTTCCTCACGAGCGCCTGAAAAAAAACCACACACTCGTTCCTCAGTTTATTACAAACATCGTACCGACGCAAGATCCTACCTGTACTACTGACAATATGCAAATTTCAAAACAGCTGGTCCCCATGGAAACGTTATTGCTTCGCCTGGAATGTTTTACAGTACGGCATTAAATTTAAGTCGCAATTTACTGCCAGTCAGAGGGTCAAGAGAGGCAACGCTGCTCATATTAAGTGTTATTTTAAGCAGTAAATTAAAAACCACACAAGATTAATGCACAAAAAATGATTAATATGAATGCTATGCTAAAAAGACACCCACAGCAACATATTTTAGCATTTTTCCCTCAGTGAAAATGCTCGTCATTCATCGTCTGCTTATAAAAGGCACAACAGTGTAAGATACCAAGAATGTGCCTGTTCCGTCTAGTTTTATCATGACTCATTCTTTAAGGATTCGCGCGCTTGGTCCGATGCCAAAAGTGCGTTTGTTGTGTCAATGCGGAGCCCTCCTTCGTGCCCTTCACTTAAAAAGGTGCGTTGTGTAACTTTCATCCGTCAAAAAGGTTTTAGAAGACACCGCTCCCAAAAAAGAAAAACAACTTTTGTTACAAGTACATTTTTATCTAGTATTTGCTTGATTGGACACTGGTTAGATACTAAAACTGCATTTCCTTGTACTGTACTTGTAAAAAACTGCAATTACAATAAAACTGAATCTGAAATCTCTCTGTTACAACAAAAACATGCACTTTAAAAAGGGTACATATTGCGTTATAATGTTGTTTCCTCATCATAAACACACTCCGAGTTGTGTTTTGTTTCATTCACACATGTTTAAATCAACAAACAAACCCTGCATATTTAAGCCGAGTGCTTCTCTACAATGGAAAACACTGTTTCACCACATGACATCACAAGGTGGAACAGAACATTTCGCAGTTTGCAGATGTAGACAGACTAATAATAATGGTTTACTCAAACATGTGTGAAAGAAACAAAACACAAGTCCAGAACTCCATGTTTATGATGAGGTAACAACATAGTAACACGGCGATAAAGCAGACATGAGTCACTTTTGTGTACTGTATTTTTCGGACTATAAGGTGCACTTAAAATCTTTTCATTTTCTCAAAAATCGACAGTGCGCCTTATGTATTAATTCTGGTTGTGTTTACTGACCTCGAACTGATTTTATGTGGTACATGGCGCTCAGAAATCTGTCAAAATGTTTTAGTACGACTTTTGGTAAACTACGAAGCCGCACCGCTTGATGGATTGTCGGAGCAGTTCGATGAGGTTCATTTAGTCTTCCGATAATTTATGTTATTAGGTTCTTTTTTTCAGACCAAGAGTTTGTTTTCATACCTGACAGTTTCGACTGCTCACGACCGCTCTTCCTCAGAGTCACGTGATGTTGCTGTGATGTGTCCGGTCAGCTGATTTAAACAGGTTTTGGCTCTGTCTTTCTACCAGTGGAGGCAGGACGACAGCGCCATCTGCAGTCCGACTTCCTCAGGACAGTATCCCAGGTGTGTGAGAGTAAAAAAGCCCCCTCCTCCCGGTTTATAGCAATATCACATGACCACTCTGAGGAAGACCACTAGTGAGCAGTCGAAACTGTCAGGTATGAAAACAAACTCTTGGTCTGAAAAAAGAACCTAATAACATGGATTTTCGGAGCATTATGGGTCCCGTAGCCAGGAGCCTCGCGGAGTAAAGGGCGAAGTATAGTTCTGCATCGACTCAATGCACACTGCCGTCGTTGTCACAGAGAGAAAACACACAGTCCACTGAGTCGTGTCTTTTAGTCCGACAAAAGTTGACTGCATCAGCGCACAAGGAGCACTTGTTTTGTCATCGCTTACAGTTTATGCAAATGAGCCATGTGGTGTTAAGTTTAGTTTCTGTAAAACGTAAACAAATGTGCGCAAAGCTGCATCAAACACTTCATTACTCAATGTATATCTGAGTCGTCCTCGTAGGAAATAAAAAACAAATGATCCGCCCACATTCACATTCATAATCCACATTCACCAAGACAGGGAGGAAACGCTGGGAAAATTACGCCACGATCTGCCAATGGATCGTGGACGCCTGAGCTAAAGGATCAGTCTCAAGTGTCGTCCGCTTGTTTCACTTAATGTACCTTATAACCTGGTGCACCTTATGTGTGAAAATAGATGAGAGAATTCAACATACAACAACACTGATATTGCGTCTTATAATCCGGTGCACCTTATAGTCTGAAAAATACGGTAATATAGGACCTTTAATTAAACAATACAAATTTTAGCGGCGCCTCTGTTTTAAATATTATTGTCCTCTAGAGTGCTGTGATGTGATCTGAAACGCAGACCCGGGCCCGCTGCGCTGTACCTGTTGTAGGGAGGAAGCGTGGGGCTGGCTCTGTATCACGCTCACTCCGTTGTGGTCAGAAGAGGAGTGTTTTGGCTGCTGCTGCTGCCGGCTCATTGGGCTGTGCTGACTTCAGGAGAGATCTCGGACCAAAGACCTGCTCTGGTGCTGAGAAGACGAGGACTCACAGTGCACTGGTCCTCTGTCACGCCTGGACAGAGAAAGACAAACAATATACGGTTAAAAAGCAGAAACAAAACAGAACAATACAGAAATTCAGTGTCAAGATTATCATAGCTAAAATAACAATTAACGATCATATCACGATAATTATTAAAGGTGCATTGTGTAACTTTTCTGGTGGAGGTTCTGTTGCTTGCTTGTTTCTGTAGATATGTCATTGCTCTGCGCCTGAAATGTTCCACAGTATGGCATTAAACAGTTCTATTTTACATTTATTCAATTACAGGTGGTTTTATAGCTCAAAAATCCCTAGGGTCGCCTCTCCACAGATCTGACCTGTAACTTGGTCTGGTTTGGTCTCCATAAAGATAGAAAGGTTTAATACCATTTCATTTCCACAGAAAATTAGTTAGACAGTTGTTATATTGTTGTACTTTGTTAGTGAAAGTGAAAACAACAATGATCTAGAAGAAAAGAAGTCGCTTTTTTTCTGCACATTCTGGTGATTTGTGGTGATTATCTTTGTTGGAGAGTCTCACAATTTTGCAAAATGTCCCAAGAACAATTACTGCCTTTTTTTTAAATCACGCCGACCCCTAATGACTACGTTACAACATGAGGATAAATCGTCAGTGGTTAAATTTTTATATCATGCTTTTCCACCTTCGAGAAACTCAAAGCGCTTTACATCAAGAAACCACTCACCCATTTACACACACTTTCATACACCAGTGTACACAGACACACACTTTTCATCAAATTCCTCTGATCTGGCCAAGATTTTAAAACTTATAACAGGTTATTCGTCTTGTTTTCAGATTTATTGTATACTTTCTAGTTCTGAGACGGCTTGATTCTAGTCTAGAGGTAGTTTATTTTAACATAACAGATAACATGGACAGATTATTTCACTACTTTTAAGTCATTTTCTGATAGATTTAAGTGTTCATACCTTAAATTTCAGCCAAGCAGTGCAGGGGGCGAGATGGGTGAAGTGTTTTGCCCAAGGACACTAAGACAGCATTCATCTGTAGGAGCTGGAATCGCTCCGCCGACTTTCGGATCAGTGGACAAACGCTCTACCAACTGAGCTACTGTTTGACTTCCTTTTCAAGAAACTCAAACTGAGGTAAGAGAGCTCCTTCAGGTTGCTTCATTAATGTCCATTTTATCCACTTTTCTGTTCATCTTTTAGTGATTTCATCTTTAAAACTACAGTGACAACGATGCTGTCCACTTCTATGGACCAGTGGACTCACTTGGTCATTGCATCCAACAGATCAGTGTGTGGATGCAAAACAACTTTCTCCAGCTAAACTCTGACAAGACTGAAGTCATAGTGTTTGGTCCACAGAAACAAAGGGACAGTGTCAGCAGTCACCTCCAGTCTCTCTCTCTAAAACCTTCAAATCAGGCAAGAAATCTAGGGGTAATAATGGACTCAGACTTGAACTTTAACAGCCACATCAAATCAATAACATCTGCAGCCTTTTACCATCTAAAAAACATAGCAAAAATCAAAGGTTTACTGTCTAAATCAGACTTGGAGAAACTTATCCATGCGTTTGTCTCCAGTAGGTTAGATACTGTAATGTTCTGCTCACTGGTCTCTCCAAACGAGCTGTGAGACGCTGCAGAACATCCAGAATCCAGAACTGCAGCTCGGGTCCTTACTCGAACTAGGAAGTACGAGCACATAAGTCCTGTGCTCAGGTCTCTGCACTGGCTCCTGTGCCTCAGAGACTTTAAAGCAGCTCTGCTTGTACAAGTCTCTCCATGGCCGAGCACCAAAGTCCATCTGTGACATGTTAGTGTCATATGAACCATCTCACACTCTGAGGAGCTCAGGGACCGGCCTCCTGCTGGTGCCCAGAGTCACGACTAAACAAGGGGAGTCAGCGTTTCAGGTTCATGCAGCTAAAACCTGGAACAGTCTTCCTGAACATGTGAGACAGACTCTTCTGTGACGCTGTTTAAATCCAGGCTCAAAACATTTCTGTTTAACTGTGCATTTAACTGAAAGGTTTTCATTCCGCACTCTTCTCTCCAATTTATGTCTCTCTTTTTTAATTTTAATCTTCATGATTATTTATGTTTTGATTTGTTTTTATTATGATTTTAATGTATTTCTTATTCTGTAAAGCACTTTGAATTACTTTGTGTACGAATTGTGCTATACAAATAAACTTGCCTTGCCTTTTAGACCTATTTCAGCCCTAGATTAGACCAGTGGCAGGTTTAGAAGCCGGTACTCTGATAGACAACATTTTTCTTTGGTGCTGCTTGGTGTGAAAAGTTTGAGAGCCACTGTTGGAATGTAAAAATGTCACACAATCAGATGGGGCAAAAATACAGCCTTCCTTATTGGTCATCTGAGGCTCTTGAACTTCCTATTCAGCATCTTTTAACAAGTCATTTTGCCTGCCCAGTTTCCATTAAATGTTATAGGCCTTTAGAAAGTCTAGAATGGAACTCAGCAAATTAAAACGGTAAATTATGGTTCAGGTTTAGACAGGCCAAAAATCACTAGAAGCTTCATTATTTTGAGGCAGAGCTACAGCTGCCCCGGGGCGGCTCAGGAATACAATAAGTGTAAGAACTAGAGCTGGAATCACAGGGTCCCTCACATTTGATACGACACACGATGCAGGGTTCATGGCAATACATACTTTTGTCTAAACTAGGGATGGGCATGATTAGTCGATTAATCGATAATTGATCATTAAGAGTTTCATCGATTACATTAATTTTAATCTACAAACCGAATGCAGGTTGCTGTGCGTAGCGTCACCAAATGTGTCTCTCTGCATTCAGAAGGAGCGAGCAAACACAAACATTCGGTCAGTCTGCAACGTGCCGAAGCACAAATGCGTATTTAACGATGACTTGTACAAGAAATTCACCACTTTTCCGTTGCGTTCGGGACAATGTGTGAGTCCATGTGCACAGTGTATAAAGCCGCACATATGTTTCTGTGTCCAGTGGGAAAAAGCTTTACCAGGTGAGAGTCGCTCAATGTCGATGACGAGTCCCCACCTCCTCCCCCCGTACGGTGTCCTGGTTTTGACAAATGTAAATCTGGTCACACTAACCTGTATTCCACTGAGTCATGTCTTTTAATCTGACAGAAGTTGAACCGCATCAGCGACACAAGAGCTGTAGTTTTATCTTCGCTGAGTTTATGCAAATTAGCGATGCGGTTTTAAGTTTCGTTTCTGTGAGAGTTGCGCAAAACTGAATTAAACACATTATAATGTCAAACGGATTGATGTGGCTCTAGAGTCGTTATGATTTATATGTTGTAAAGTGGAATTTATTTATGCAGATTAGTAGTGCAGATAGTAATAATAATGATGATCATTTTAATATAAAAACGTTAATGATTAATCGATAATCGATCGTTAATTCTTCCGACGATCGATTAAGAAAATTTCATAGAATGCCCATCCCTAGTCTAAACAAACAACCTTTCAGCAACATCTCAAATTAATTTAGTTAGATACAAAAAAATACCCTTGGCCGTGTATATAGAGAGATAACGATAATAATTATAATTATAATTAGGGGTGTAACTGTACGTGTATTCTGAACGGTAGATGTATTGTACGTTCGGTTCGGTGCAGGGCTGTGTATGAGCGAATTCACACAATTCACCTTTCGCCTGCAGCAGATCTGCACTTACTGCAGACAATATGGACAAGTTGTGTTTTTCTGGCCAAAAATTAAAAGTATAACTTGATGCTAGAATTGTTAGTGCTGCGCTTTACTTTTTGAAAAGTTTTGTTTACTTTTACAAGGATTTTTTAAAATAGTATTTCAAACATTTGTTGCTTATTTGAGAATATTTTATTTAACTTATTAGTATTACCAAGCAGCACTTTGTATTTATTTTATATTCCTGTTTGTATAATGTTAAAACAAATTGTTGGTTTAATAAACACACAAATAAACAACAAGCAAATGGAAATGGTTTTGCATTTTGTTCCCACACTGTACCAAAAATGAACCCAACCGTGACCTCAAAACTGAAGTACATGATGACACATGACCGTGATTTCTGTGTACCATTACATTCCTAATAATTATTATATTTAGTATCACGATATATAAATTTCAAACTTGATTTCGATACCAAGGCAAAGATTCTATATTCAAAACTAACTCCGATACCACAATGAGAACAAAAACACTCTTTATTTAGGCAAAAGAATGTGATTTCCAACATTAAATTATACTTATGTTACATTAAATCGTACTTTCTTTTATATTCCCATGTGGTCTTATATCTGTGTAATCCCTCAGTGGTCCAGGTAGGTTTCATAGTGATCCAAGGGTGTATCTATGTGCTATACTATACAGTATCACAGCCATGATTTAGCCATTATTATTATTACTGTAACTGTATCGAACTGATTTGAAATATATCGTACTGAATCTTACTGCATCGTATCGTAACAACTTCTTAATGATACTCAGCCCTATTTACAACCCTACACTCTTGAAAGGACATGAGTAAAGAAGATTTGAACTGTGCCAAACTGCGCCTCTGCGACCTCCTTCACTCAAAAAGACCATAAAGTTTATTACAGAGCTCCATGTAAAAGTATAGAGTACGTGTGCTGCGTTTCCTTGTGGTTACAATAAATGTAACTGTTCCTGAAGGATGAGATTCCTTCTGCTCATGTGAACCAGCCTTCCCCAAACGAACGGGGCACCGAGCCAACACCAGCCGCAGCCGGATCTGTTACACTGACTCAACAGAGCACAGGTAGAACAAGCAAACGGCTCACTGTGGAACTTCTCGCTTTGTCGCCACTGAGATGTTACTGATGTGTCTCGGACGTTCCAAAGTATGGCGTTAAACTTTGAGACAAGCAGATGACGCTACAGGGCAAAGTTATGAGTTAACAAAGCACAGGTAGAACAAGCAAACTGCCAACAGAGAGAAGTTTTAAAGGTGCACTGTGTAAGTTTTCTGTTTGTTTCCATGGTGATGTTACTGCCACGTCTTGAAAATTCCACCATAGAGAGGCTCTCGTCTTGTGTGTCAGTATCTAGTACTACTTTTACTCCTGTACCACTGACACTTGGCTCTACTGCGTATGTCTCCTGCAAAAAAACGACCTCTGTCCTGCTGTATGTAGTGAAATATTCAGCCGAAAACTGTAATCGAGCAGCAGAAAGAAAGTTTGGAGTGAGCGAGAAACTTGTGAGGGACTGGTGGAAAGCGGGGATGGAGAACACAGCTTCACGGGAACCAGGAGGTTGCACCATGTAACTTCCCTGGAAGTCATTAAATGAATCGACAAAGCCTGGACGTCAATGACAATCGAAACCATCCTGTCGGGATTCAGAAAGGCCGGAATAATTCTAACTGGAACTGATGCTGAGTCTGATGACAGCGACGCAGAAGAGTAAGCAGCGCTGTGTTTACCTCATGGATCTACGGTTTATCTCCAGATGTTACTCAGAAGTGACACAGAGAATGAAGAGTTCAATGGATTAAGTGATTTGGAGTGAGATGGAGAGTTTGGTAAACTTGTTCTGTTCTGTTGTTTATGCTATAATTATCTGAAGAACTGTTCATATGTGACGTTAACAGTCTGTTGTTCTGTTCTGCTGTTTTTACTGTAACTTGCCTTTCAAGATGAAATGTTGGTTCCTGGTCTTTGATTTTACAAAATACATTTCCCCAAAAAGTGCGACTTATATATGTTTTTTTCTTCTTCATTGCACATTTTTTGGCTGATGCGATTTATACTCTGGAGCGACTTGTAATGAAAATACGGTAACCAGACCTTTATAACACATTTGTAGAAGCATAAAGAGAAAGGCAAATCTCTTATCTCTCTATGTATATATAGCAAAATAGAGCTGAACGACTTTAGTTAAGTCGATTAATAATTTTATTTAGATTATACAGATTTATATGGAACAACAGGAGTCAGTAGAAGTTTGATTTACCTGAAGATTTGTGGGGTTTTTTTTGGTCTTTCTATGTAAAAATGCAGAGATTAATTTGTCTATATAATACACACATTGTTTCCTAGTACTTTTTTCTGTATAAATTGTTGTTTTTGTATGAATTTTGGGTCACATACCGAGATACGTAACAGTTTTGAGAGCTTTTGCCACGTCCCCTTTTTAGTATAACAAAAAAGATCCATATTCACTGTAACAACGTCTGACTAAGCAGGATTTATAAGTCTTCATGTAGCTTTTATATCATTACCACAGAGCCATTTACCCAGGCTTCTTTAGAGAAAAAAGCTCTTATCTCGAGAGACTTCCTGGTACAATAAAGATGATATCGAAACATATTACAAATGCTTCTAGGGCGTCGATATTTGTATGGATACTTTACAATGACATCAC